TACCAATAGTATATATTAGTTTATAGTATATAGTATGTTATAGTATGTTAGTACATATTATAATATGTGATAGTATGTTATTTTATATACTTAGGGATAGCCCTCAAGCCCATAAGCGCAAACTCAAAGCGTGCAAAGAGTTTCTGTGCCTCAACACTGCCCGTAGGACAGCCAGCAGTGGCGGCGTCTCGCCCTGTTCCTGCTCGTGCAGGCCGCTATCCTTGTATACGACTATTTGAGACATCATTTGATTGTGAATGTCTTGATTGATGCTTTTGGCGCTATCTACAAGCTGCTTGCTAAGTCCCCCTGAACATCTGCAGTTCTGCGGGATGACTGTGCCATGTGCCTCTTATGCGCGGTGTTCTCTTAGTATCTCAAAGAAAAACTTGCCAGCTCCGTGACCCTGTGGCACCGCTCTCGCATTCAGCGCTCCCCATGTTCCTGAAACCTAGATATAGTTTTTGGTACTATTGTAGTATATCATCGTACATTGTTTATATAACTATAGTATTGTTGTAGTATATTATCGTACACTGTAGTATGTTATTGTATATACATTGTATATACTTATAGGGATAATCCTCAACCCTGTACCGAGCCTTGTCGTCGATGAGCAAAGATATTCGCCCAAAGTCCAGTGCCGGAGGCACCGGAAGCAGCGCCGTGGCCTCAAGGTTTAGGGTTTAGGGTTTAGGGTGCCGACGACAGCACTGTGCCCTGTGCCTCTTGACGATCCGACGATGCAAAGCTGGAGTCTGCAGCCAGTGCATTCACATGCGAGAAGTTCCTCTCTGTGTTGCTATGTATCGATCTATCTGTCCAGCTACAGATTCAACTGTTTAACTGTCTATCTAGCTATCTATCCATCCATCTGTCTATCGCTCTGTCTCTCTGCCCCTCTGTCTCTCTGCCTCTCTATCTCTCTGTCTGGGTAGGGCCCTGCTGGTGATCTGAGATCTTTCGAAAGAGCTCGCGCCTGGCCACCACGAACCTGTCTGTCTGTCTGTCTGTCTGTGTCTGTCTGTCTGGCTCTGTCTGTCTGTGTGTTTGTCTGTCTCTCTGTCTGTCTGTCTGTCTGTCTGTCTGTCTGTCTGTCTGTCTGTCTGTCTGTCTGTCTGTCTGTCTCTGTCTCTGCGTGTCTCTCCCTGTTTGTGTCTCTGTCTCTGCGTGTCTCTCTCTGTTTGTCTGTCTGTCTATCTCTATCTGTCTCTGTCTGTCTCTGTCTGTCTCTGCCTGTCTCTGTCTGTCTCTGTCTGTCTCTGTCTGTCCCCGTCTGTCTCTGTCGGTTTCTGTCGGTTTCTGTCTGTCTCTGTCTGTCTCTGTCGGTCTCTGTCGGTCTTTGTCTGTCTGTCTGCCTGCCTGCCTATAGACAATATCCGTGTCTTTCCATATTTCGTTCTGTCGTTCGCTGTTTTGCTTGCGTGGGATCGAACCCTGAACTCTCTGGAGCCGGAGATGTGGCCTGTCTCCGTCTCTCCGTCTCTCTTTCTCTCTGCCTCTCCGACATCTACGATGGATGATTGCACGAAGGCCTGCAGGTATGTACACAGTTTTGGCGATATGCTCCGGTTCTCACAGGTTGCACTCTTGTACCATCTGTGTACACGGGCCATCTGAATTGCTACGCGCCAGCTGAGTTTGCCACTGTACGAGCCCGCGACTCGATGCTCCTTGCCGAGTGGAGCCTCTTGACCTTGACTTGTCGTAGTGGTATCATCATAAGCTGCCGCTTCAGACGCGAAAGCTTATATTTTCACTGCACTTGTCACGGTCTGCCAATTCAAGGCAAGACGGAACAACCTAGGTCAACCGGCCTGCAACATGAGGCGCCCCACCATATGGAAACGCAAAACACAACAAATTGCTTTATAAGGATGTATAAGATAGATATGGCGTAAACGAGGCCAATGACTGATGCGGTGCTCAGTATGGCAATGATCTAGTGCTGCAGGCAGTTCACATCCAAACAACATGAAACTTGTGCGAAGTCAAGCAGAAGCCCCCAACCCGTTGCCCCAAAGGAAAGCTCGCTCTGGGCTCTGAGACATTGTTGGACTGCGAAGCGTTGAGGCTCGAAGCAGAGCTTCCCCGGAGGGCCTGGATCGAGGCTGAGCTGCTTTTGGGTATATGTATGTATGTATGTATGTATGTATGTATGTATGTATGTATGTATGTGTGTATATATATATATAAGGGTTACTAATTGCTGTATGTTACTATAAGAATACTATAGGGTTTAGGGTTGAGGGAGTTCATGCAGGGCTTCGAGTTGACACGTGCCCCGCCTGAATACTAGAAAACACGGGCCCCCCGATAGGCCCTACCTAAACCCTAAACCCTAAACCCTAAACCCTAAACCGATGTCAAGTTGAAGCAAACTGCGGCTCGTTCAGGGGGGAGCTGAACGGGTCACTCAAAGGGCATAAAGGCATGGAATCTTACAGCGCTCTGTCTCCCCTTTGGGTATATTTAGGGTTTAGGGTTTAGGGTTTAGGGTTTAGTAGGAATTGGCAGTTCAACTCTTATAGAACCCGGTTGACTTCTTTAGAACGTCTTCTGGCTCCTTGTATCGACTCTTTCTACATCTCTAGCAACACCAGTAAAATCATGAAACAACTCAACCTGAGCTTCACGCAAGCCTTGCAACTTACGTCGTTCAGGCCCCCACTTCGCGCGACATCGGCCAGAGGCGATCCTGAATCAGAAAGGGTGCTGCATGCTGGCTCCTCTACCCTAGACTCCCCAAAGCCTCCAACCCAAATTCGGCGGAAAAAAAGCCACACAAGTCAAACACGGGACTCCGGGAGCCTAAAGCCCTTCATCACCGGGCCCCTTAGATCTCCACCCTTCTCTCAGAAGAAAAGGAGCAACGCCCGAACCCTTAATCTGCGTGCCTGAATAATTCGAATAATACTTTCGGGGCCCATTATACTATAGTTTCACCAACTAGAATAGTGCTTTCGGGCCCATCATCTACTACAGTTATAATAAGGAACCTAAAATATGAGACGTAATTATTTAGGCCCCTACATTAGAGCAAATCAGGTCCTGGTAGAGTGGAACTCCCTGGCTCGGGCTGGAGCCACCCTGTCGGTCGAATGGGGTTTCGGATTCCGGGTTTAGAGTTTAGGGTTGAGAATTTGGGGTTTAGGGTTTCGGATTCAGGGTTTAGAGATTAGGGTTGAGAATTTGGGGTTTCGGGTTTCGGATTCAGGGTTTAGAGATTAGGGTTGAGAATTTGGGGTTTAGGGTTGCGCATTCAGGGTATAGGGTTGAGAATTTGGGGTGTAAGGTTTCGGATTCAGGGTTTAGAGTTTAGGGTTGAGAATTTGGGGTGTAGGGTTTCGGATTCAGGGTTTAGAGTTTAGGGTTGAGAATTTGGAGCGCAGGGCTTCGGATTCAGGGTTTAGAGTTTAGGGTTGAGAATTTGGGGTGTAGGGTTTCGGATTCAGGGTTTAGAGTTTAGGGTTGAGAATTTGCGGTTTAGGGTTTCGCATTCAGGGTTTAGTGTTGCGAATTTGGGGTTTAGGGTTTCGGATTCAGGGTTTAGAGTTTAGGGTTGAGAATTTGGGGTGTAGGGTTTCGGATTCAGGGTTTAGAGTTTAGGGTTGAGAATTTGGAGTTTAGGGTTTCGGATTCAGGGTCTAAAGTTTAGGCTTTAGGATTCGGGTTCAGGGTTTAGGGCTCAGGGTTTAGAGTTTAGGGTTTAGGGTTTAGGGTTTAGGATTTGGGGTTCATGGTTGCTAGAAGGGGCTCTCCGATCCTATGAGGAGGCTTTGCTGCTTCGCATGTTCGTGGTACGACAGCCGGGCTTAGCCGTTAGGGTTTAGGGTTTTAGGGTTTAGGGTTTACTGTTTGGTCGTCTATGCTTGCTGTCTTTCCGAACACACAGGCAAACAGACAAACAGACAGACAGACGGATAGTCTATCTCTAATCCTGAGGTTAGGGAAGGATTTGTCGGAGAAGGAGAGTCCTGAGCAATTGCAGCGTCTTGGATTCACTAGCGCTACGCGTTGTTGCCAACCGAAGGCAGCACATGTAAACTGGGGCTGCTTTCCACGTCCGCAAATCTGCCTTCAAGACACAGCAACATAAAACCTCACGTGCCTAGCTTATTTGCTTCGGTAGGTATTCGAGAAAACCTAATAAATTTGTAACCAGAGCTCTTTTAGTCTACGGGTATCATGGTCAGGGGGGGAATGCTCTATTCAGAACATAGGGAGGCTGGTAACGGACCCGCCACCATCCCTCAACCCCCAGGCCCAAACCCAAATCCGAAACCCCTGAAGGCCCAAAGACCTGCACCCCCAAACCCTAAACCCTAAACCCTAAACCCTAAACCCTAAACCCTAAACCCTAACACAGAAGACAAGCTCCTGAAAGCTCGCGCCTCGCCGAAAGCCCCGGAGTCTGAGCAACCTCTATCCCAGCCCGAAACTCAAAAGCCCCAAGCCCTCCAAGTCCAAGAACCCAACACCCCCTAAACCCTAAACCCTTAAACCCTAAACCCCTAAACCCTAAACCCCTAAACCCTAAACCCCTAAACCCCTAAACCCTAAACCCTAAACCCCTAAACCCCTAAACCCGTTAACCCCTAAACCCTGAAACCCTGAACCCTAAACCTTATAAACCCTAAACCCCCCTAAAAGCCCCAAAACCTCTTAAACCTATCGACCTCGCGGTTCGGGCTCTAGGATTGAGGATTGGAACAGGGACCTGAATAAATAGATCGGCGGCTTTGAGTGGCTTGTGATGCAATCATTACACAGGGACTGTATCTCATGGGGTACTGTGACTTATTACTATTCTTACTACGGTTATGACGAGTATTATGATTCTTCTTCTGGCTAGTATTATTCTGACCCCTTAAGTGCGGTCTGATGTTTGAGGCTGGTGGTCAGGCGTTAGGACCCAGTCTTTCGGGTTCAGGAGCTGCGGTTTAATGTAGGGCTGTGAAGGCAATCAGGCTAGGTTTTCGTGGTATTTCATAGTATACCTGTATTCTCGCGAACCTCAAGGAATGGTATCGCAAATCCTTCAGGACCCTACATTTAGACTTCAGCTTGAGGTATAATTACGATATTAGGTTGAGGCGTGGTGGCAATCGCGGTTTTCTGGGCTTTACTGCAACAAAAAAACCTACAAACATCGTGATGGAGCCCCTGAAGAACCCTAGGGACACCCCATGAAAAAAAAAGTTTCAAAGGCTCTTTTCCCCCAAACCCTAAACCTTAAACCCCCAAGCCTGCGGGCCATCGAGGTCGCAGCTCTGCGCGCGCAGGAGGCTCTGGATGGAAGGGCGCATAGACCCAGGGATGTCCTGGTTTCTTTTTGTTGAAGTGGGTTTAGGGTTCAGGGTTTCGGGTTTAGGGTTTAGGGTTCAGGGCTTCGGGTTTAGGGTTCAGGGTTTCGGGTTTAGGGTTTATGGTTTCGGGTTTAGGTATCAGGGTTTAGGGTTTAGGGTTCAGGGTTTAGGGGTTTAGGGTGTAGGGTTTTTGGTCCTGTTTAAGGTGGGTGGAGAATCGGGCTTCGGTTTAGAGTTTAGGGCCCAGGGATTAGAGTTTGCTAGTGTGCCTGAGCATTGATATCAGAGCCCCTGCATTGTACTGATGTCTCTACGACTCTTGGACGTTAAGAAACGAAGTAGCTTGTGGAAGAAGCATGATCTCCAACACCTACCGCACGAGGTTCAACGCTGCGCCAAGGATTGCAGAGTACTGTGAAGATGTGCATGGCAACCGCCACCATCGCGACTCGTCCCTGCAATGGCTCAGGTCGGCTTTAACTTCCAATCTCACTGCTAACGTCTGAGTCTTCAGGCGCTTGAAAAAGCTATGCGAAGACACTGGTTGCCAACCCCCCGCAGTCCTGCGGTGTGGGCGCCGGAGCCTCTTCCTGCATTTTCATGGGTGCACTCGCCCTCTGAATGCATGGAAAATGCAAACACATTTACGAACACGTCAAAGCAAAAACACGGACCATGCAGGTATGTGTAAATATGTAATGTCATGTTTAACTGAGTGTTCAGGTTGCGTTTGTACTCATTCCTAGATAAAACAAAGTGTCGGCATTCGTATGCATTCCTACCATACATACGCAATTACATAGGCAGGCATGTAAATATATACATACATGTACGTATGCACACAAGCTAGGTAGGTTGATGGGTAGGCAGGTAGATAGTGTTTTGTCTGTCTGTCAGTCCGTCCGTCTGTCTATCCATCCTCCTATCCATCTATCTATCCTGAACCCAAGGCCCCAACACCCTGGAAGCACAAGAGGCAGTCCACTGGCTGCCCGAGGCCCCCGCAGGCTGGCATACCACCTGGCAGGAGAGTAGGTCGCTTGAGTGGGCTTCTTTGGGATTTTCCTTTCAGGTTTCTGAGCTTTAGGGCTTAGAGGCTTGGGGTTTGGGCCTTGAGTGTCTTTGGGCCCGGGAGATCGGGTAGGCCGAGCGGTCTTGGGGCTTGTAAGCAGGTTAGGGTGTGTAGTGGCATAACGGAAGACGATAAACGGTTTCAGAGTGGAAGGGTTTGTACGGGCTCAGGGTTGACACGAGCCTTGGGCATAGCAAGACTCTGGGTTTCGGTTGCAGCCGGCTTAGGGAAGGTTGAGAGCCGCTGGGATACCAGGCTTTAGAGTGGTGCCCAGGCAGCAGTCACGATGACAGCTATGACCAGAAGTGAATGCTAACTGCGAACAGCGAACACATCCACAACAGTGCAGATGGCCGCTGTGATAAGTGGCAGCGCCCACGGTCAGCAGAACAAAGGCTTCTTAGACTGGAATGACCGTGATTCGTGATCACCGGCACAACCACCTTGACAATCATCATGACGACCGTCGTCGCGTCATAGCCATCATGGCTTTGTGAGTAATCCAGTTCATCTTCATCGCCATCCTCATCGTCCTCACCATCATAGTCATCATCAACAGCATCATCACCGCCACCGCAACAGCTGCAAGGTAGAAGTGGTAGTCGTCGTAGTAGCAGCAGCACTGGTACCAGCATGTACCAGTACTAGTTCCCAGTACTAGAACCAGCACTCGTAACTAGCACAAGTAGCATTTAAACTAAGTAATGTAGGGGCCTAAATAAACACTACTCTAATTACTAAGGCCCCTATATTAGTGGTAGCGCGGTGCTTCGCAGATCCGCGCCGCCTTGCCCAGTCTCCGTCGAGCATCAAGCGCCTGGTGCTCGCAGAGGCGCTGGGAGACTTAGGGTTGCGAAGAAAGGGTTTAGGGTTTAGGGTTTAGGGTTTAGGGTTTAGGGTTTAGGGTTTAGGGTTTAGGGTTTAGGGTTTAGGGTTTAGGGTTTAGGGCCACAAACTAAACAAAGCTGAATCCCCAAAAGCCGTATATTACCGCAAGAATGGGCCCCGCCACAGCCAACCCGGACTTGCCAAACCCTCGCACAAGCACTCCCGAAGACCTTGCGCCGGCTTGGGGGAACGCAGGGGCTTTAATAATTTTAATAGGGTTTTGGGGGCTC